AAATACACATTTGATTATGTGTTCATAATAACAAATATTACTGGAGAGGGATAACTTGGTACTTCCCCTTTAGAATTGTAAAATAACAAAATTCAACTATATTTTAATTAAAGATAAAGTATCCACTTGCATTTCAATCAAGTTACCGGCATAAGCGGTTATTATTAGAATATTATTGTCATTTATTATAGACAACTTTCATAATATTTATCTAGAAGTGCTTTCAGCATACGTACCAACTTAAACATGGTTAATCATCAACAAAAATATGTATTAAAATCACTCTTTATAGTTATGAATTGGCAAATTATTTGAGCTATTTTCAATTTAAAATAACTAAAGAAACTATTAATGACAATTAACTAATTACTTATTGCTCTTTAATTGAGAATAAATTTGAGTCGAAGTTATGATATTATACTTGTACATATAAATATTGATATAGGGCAGCGGAAATCTAAATATGGCTCATAGATATCATTCACGCAATCTAAATATACAGGCTTAAATGGGACTGTCGATCCTACTCCATCTTTTGTCCAACATTACGATTTTTTCACTAACTGTTGGACTTTGTACTCACCAAATAAGGGAAATTTCCGAAGTAAATTAGATCTCACTACTCATAATGATCCAAAATTATAGCAGAGTATACGTTTCTGGAGCTTCAATATGATATGTGGAATTAAGTTACTAATATTAAACAACTTCGCGGAAGCTTGGTCAACGCTGGGACACAATCGGTACATGTGCTCTCGCWAAAGGCCACTGGAGTTCTTTCTTTCTATGGCATCACAAAGGACTACACATAGTAGTCCACGTTCGAACTTTTTCATCAGCCATCTAATTTAATCAAACAGCTTCGGTAATCAAACTCAGTTCAGAGAGTACGCAAGTCGCTAAAACCGAAACACAACGAAAGGGCTGATAGAATTATCAGGGTGAGATGGAATGCCTTAAGGGCAAGCAGGATTGTCAAGATGATGTGCAGGGAAGCGAAAGGAAAAGCGAAAGCGTAAGCTTACTATTCGCAGGGTCTCGAAAAGACTGCAGAACAGTGGCCTAGTCAGAGGTCAAAATTTATTGATATCCCGCGTAAATCCTGTGGGTATTATTAATGACGAAACATGTAGATAGTGGAGGAAAGTAGCCATAAGAGAGACTCTGGAATACTCCCTCTGTACATGTTCGGCCTTTTCTAGAAGTTTCACTATAATCAATGCCGAGTCTCTATAAAACTTCTTCACGACTACTCAGTATGGTATTAATAAACTTCCAGCTGGATTTACATAGGACAGGTAAGCCAGATAACTCGAAAATGTTTAAACAAAACCTTTATTAAAACTTAATCGCGACGTGAACTAGTTTACCTTATTAGAAGCTGTTTTCAATTCTAAATTGAGTATGATAAGATGCGATCGAACTAATGAAATTTCCGCTCAAGTGCTTCGACTGACTCTAAATAAGTATATAGGAAACCATATATTCTTCAYGATGTAGCGAACCTATATGTCTTTACCATATAYCTCTTCAAGGTGCGTTTAAAAGTAAACAGGACTCAAAAAAAAAAAAAAAACAAGCAGAACAAATGTTTTTTTTTCGGCAAAAACAATTTATTTTATTCAAAATAGTCTCCTTCTGCTTCAATACAGCTTTTTGCAGGGTTTTGCCGATATGGCTCGCACCGATAACACAAACATACTGACACTTAAAACGCAATAACTTCACTTTTAATCAATGAAATTTAATCAAATTCTTACAGGACAATTGGGCGCTAGATTTAAAAAAATCCAGCTTACTTTGGATCGCACCTTGTATATATCATTCCGATTTATTATTTTATTCCAAATCTAGTATATATCATTTGAACTTGTGTTTGGGTAAGACAAAACGTTGAATTTGTACTTCCGCCTTCATTGTGTCAAGTAGTGAACYGAATAGCAGTATTTTTAGTTAGAAGATCACAATTTTTTTTTTTTTAAATTTATGAACAATTGAAAATTCAATAAAAAAAATACCGCAAGACTTTTTTGACAACCTAATATTTCTTGCAGGCGCAATCGGGTTAAGAAAAGTTAGTCTTCAAATACCTAATTTAATTAATCATTACTGTTTGACTAATTGCTTATGGGAATATTTTATTATTTTAAAGAACTAGAAAACCAATGGAAAATAAGAATAAAAGAGGTTCTAAAACATGCGTTAAAATATTATTTTCTTAATGTTTTGACTGTAGCGGACAACTCCTAGATTTTTAATAATCAAAGAAATGATTTTGTTGTTTCATCAATTCGTGATATAGTCACTGAAATTTCTTCGATTATTTTAAATGCTTGCAAAGAAAGTTCTATGTTAAAGTCGCAATCGCAAAGTTCACGGGTATCTAGATGGAAACACTCTTTATACACATACTTATAAATGTTTGCATATATGTTTGCGCATATGTATGGGTATGCAGAGGATGTATTTACTTGCGCACTTCAAGTGTAAAAAATATTAACGCAAATATTTACTTAGGTGGTTTTTCTGAAAAAAGTAATGAGAATTGATGTGCAAAAAAGAATGCTCGTAGATAAAGCCAAACATGGAGCGACAGCCAAGAACCAACACCTGATAAGCTCACGAAAAAGCTAGACATATCTATGTGCGTGCATGTTGGCGCTAAGACTATCAAACATATTTCGAAAAGAAAAATAATAAAATTTTATTTAAAGTGAAAATGGTGTGCCAAATTCTTGAGAGATTTTTATAACTTTAGTCTTAAGTAATAGAAAATTATTTATATTTGAGCAAGGGACTCCCAATCTATAAAGAGGCATAGAATAACTCCATAAAGTTTTATCAGCCGCTTGGTGATGGTTGATAAAAAAATATTCACTTTCTCCAAAAATAGCATTCCTTCGAGCAATTACCTATATTTTTAGCTTAGTAGCAAAAGCACTTGCCTGATTAAGCTATCTTTACCTTATAAATGTCATTTCATTTATCTTTATTCTTGCCATTTCTTTTTTGTGTTTACGAGCTTTGACTATGACGTCAACGATTGCTTACTAAGTCAGCTTGTCAGCGCCACGAAATATTACACAAACTCCTATATTGATACGATATTTACTTTGCTGCCTTACTTAAGATGATAAGTAATGATATGTAATTTACAGTTAGTAGGGGCATATGAGCATAAGCTTCCTTCTCATTTGTAGCAAAGTAATATAAATAGGGCCTTGCACTTAATGCAGTTATATAAATATATACATACATATATAAGCAGACGCCCTGAGAAGCAAATTAAGTTTAGAAAGTGATCTGTTAATGATATTAACCGCATTCCAAGTTCTTATCCATTTTGATCTTAAATGAGATTTCGACGAACACTGAAGTTTCATGTCCTAAAAGAACAGTCTAAAGAAATTGAATCTTAAAAAATAATTTCGGCTTTGTCTTTCATAATCAGAATAAAGTACGCTTTATAAGGATACCGTAGGACACTTTTTAAAGGCTAAGTATCTAGGTCAATTTTTTGAATGACTTGATCTGGTAAGATAATGTTTTCAAATTGCTTTGATGTTTAATTTAATATAACTTCCTTGTTTTTCGTTTCGAGAACAAAATCGATTAAAAATAAAACACCGTTAGCGAGGAAAAAGCCAGTTGCTATAAAATAGGCCAATTTTCCATCAGTATCCATCGGCAATGTGGCCAACGACAAACCGCCACAGATGAGAAATAAAATAGCGCTAAGTATGAGATAGACTGCCACATCATTGAACGATAGGAACGAAACTGAAAAGGTAAGCAAATGTAATATTGTGATTATATATTGTAATTATTCCAGGCAAGCTGACAACTTTGTATCACCAATAGAGTTGGATTCATATGTTTTATGGTTAGACCTGATTTAAGACTGTCGGACAACTGGTTGTTGAAATGCATCATTCGGTGGGACCAATATTTTTCTATTTTGGGAATAAACATATAGAAAGGACACCATTCATTTATGGCTTTCTAGCCGAATAGATCTTATGAGGACCGATGACGATGACCATCCCGTGTAGATCGAGCGAAAAATTTTGTTAAGTGCTTTAGTTGACCGCTTAAAGACATCTAAGAAATGTTAGGCACGACCTACGTGATTATTTGGTTATTTGAAACCTGTGTGCAAAGTGGGTGCCACTTGATTTCTAAATCGACCAATTTATTGTGACAGAGATCAATGAAAACGATGAAGGTAAGACTATCGAGATGTTTAACGCTCAGCAAAGGCTAAATCTGTGGTGGAAAAAATGTCTGGATGTTTCCACCTCACCTTCCTTCCTTACTGAAGAGAGTGGGAATAAAGAGGTATCTCTCGACACTGAAGATTATTTTGAAGCCCAAAGTTACTTTTACTACAAAGCGGCGTCGAAAAGTTGGAATGCTGTTATAACCGATGATAAGCTTTTCCGAAATTATTTTTCTTCAAGTCAATAAGAACTTTTCAGTCTGCCAAGTATTTTTCTCACTTACGCGCCACCAGCACAGCCGTTATTATGCTGAAACCGAAAATTGTACCACACACGATCATAACTCGCGTCGCGTACGTGCTCAGCACATACCAAAGGACTAAGAGCACGATACAGATCACCTGAAAAAGTGTCAAATTTTTGCTTTTCTATATAAAAATTGCATATTAGGTATGAAGGGTAATAAAAATACTTGCTCACCAGCTCCGCAATTCTAAACATTTTCTGCAGCTCCATGGCGCTACTTCTTTCATGTACAAGAATTTGAAATAAATTTTCTACAAATTTTGCGAAAGCTTGTAGTTTTAACAAAACAAAAAACAAAAATATTTTTGAATATGAATCTTACAAAAAATAAATTGCCTTGACATACAAAGGCAGTGCTGGCCATTTACTTTAAAAAATAGCATATTTATAAGTTTAGTTCGAATTTTTTTTTTTACATGCTCAACACTGATCTGTTTTGACATTTTTCATCAATTTTCAAGCAACGCATTTTGAAATCAGATTTTCAGATTTTCAGTTTTACAATTATATTATATTAATATTTTTATCGCAAGATTATTACGTCTATTTGAGCATATAGACAATGGAACTTAAGACAATTTTCAGAATCGTAGAGCTGGTGAGCGATTATTCAATACAAATCAAGAGTAGTCTAACTAAGGACACATTTATAACTTTTAAATTTTTTGCTTTAAAGGTAATATGTGTCGTGCTCTTGGTCCTTTGGTATGCGTTGAGCGCATACGCTTCCCGGGTTATGATCGTATGTGGCACCATTTTCGGTTTCACCATAATAACGGCGGTGCTGGTGGCACGTAAGTAAAGAAACGAAGAAAAAAGCTGAAAACTACAAATTTTTAAATTTCGTACTTTAAAACATATATGTATACGTTTACAGTTGAGTTCATGGAATTCAATCAGGTGGCGGTGTTCTTGATCATTGGCGCCATTTTGTCTCTCATCTGTGGTGGATTGACTATTGCATATCTGCCGGAATATGGCGATGGACGGTTGACTTATTTTATTGCAACTGGTCTCTTCATTGCTAATGGCGTCATCTTTTTAATCGATTTCATTATGGAATTGAAAAGTTAATTTAAATAATGTATTTATTTGTTGCAAGATGGTTAGTAAGATTTTTTCTTATGCAGAATGAAGTCCAGAAGAAAAGAATCTGTTCGACTATTGAATCAGTCGGGCGATGCCAAATTGTAAAGAATGTAAATTATATTGAAACATGCATGAATATATTGATATATTTGTAAAAAAAAAAATGTTTTTCGTAGTTTCACTGAAAAAACTAAATATTTCAGTTTAAAATAAAAAATATATTGGACAAAGTTGACTACTGTACATCTATTGTCAACCAAAACCGACGCTATTGTCTACGAAAAATTTCCAAAAGCATTTAATTTAACAGTAAAGGTTGGACAATGGATAAATCCCCTATCTCTGCAAGTCCTGGTTATTTTTGAACTCTTTTCGGGACATAGTATTCTCTTTACACTCTTTTGTTAAGGTTTGAAAGTGTATCAGAATAACGCCTACTACCTGCTTAAGACAATTTTTACTGACGTAAATACCACGATATACGATATATTGAGATGCTCTGTTATTTTAACTGATGCCAACACGATGGGTTTCAAATACTGTTTCTTTAACGTTTTTCGATGTTTTCGTTATTAATAGAGAACGACCCGCATGAGACAAGTTTTTGATGACTTTGCGACCTTCACTATATGCTGTGTGCCATTCAAGTACTCAGTTTCGTGATAAATTTGACTCTTTAAAATAATTCTGCATAATGTTTAATGATTCCGCCGAAGGGGTTTCCATTGGAAAACGAAATTTCAAGCAAACTTATTTTTAAATACTTTTCACAAGGAAGATTCTAAGAATCTGAGGAAAAATTTTTACGATTCGGTTTGTGCTAAAGTCAAGGTCATATTTGATATTCACTATATAACAATAATCATTGTAACCGCCGAGACGCAACGGGTCAGAGTCCACTAGGGATCATGCCAAGTACTTGGGAGTAATTTTGGAAAGTAAACTGACGTGGAATTTCTATGTGGAGAAACAGGTGAAAAAAGCCAACGGTGCTCTATACGCTTGTAAGAAGATGCTAGTATAAACATGGGATCTATCACCTGCCTTGTGCAATGGTGTTACACAACGGTTGTCAAGCCAATCTTATTTTATAGTGCTATGGTGTGTTGAACCACTGCCAGTAAAATCTCAGACACACTAACTAGAATGGTTACGGAACCTGCCATCAATGAAAATTGCAGTGGAAAGCTTGGCAGCAAAGTCTGCTGCAAGATTGACAGCGCTAGGTGAGTTTTCCACAAGAACATTCGTAGGTCGGTGAATAAAATAGACCACATAGGGAAGGGTGGATTGCGCAGGGGCAGACGCACCTTTAAAGCTGAAACCTTTGCGATGAAGAAAGCGGATGAGATAGCTAACAACGCAGGGAATGACATAACGATTACCAATATATACTTCGATAGCTAAGAATTTCTTAAAAGAATGTTTTTAGAAGCAGGGAGACTTTAGATATAAATGCTGTCAGAAATCGGTTGCATATATACTAGGTACCGGGCCACAAGAGCGTACCAGGAAACGAAAGAGCTGATGAAAGGTGCCATGTACCTTAGAACCGAACCAGTTCAGGAAATATGTACGTAATTAATTACAAAAATGTACAATAAAATTTCGGATGAATTGTTTTAGATTATGTAGGATCATATGCAAGTTAGCGATACTAAAACACGTAAGCTTTCTACTCAAACAGTTTCGAAAAAATTGCAAAACAGTTGGTTGCTTAGTCATAAGCCATTACTTACTGGCATCAAATTCGAGCCGTATGGGCGTTATTAACGGTGACACATCTAGAGAGTGCACGGAAGTAGCCATGAGAGACTCGCTGAAACAACTGCTCTGCTACTGGCCGACCATTTCTAGAACTCGGCTTAGATAACTCAGGGCTTCGATCTTCAGAGACTGGATGAAGAATAAGAACTATATATCTAGTCTCTATTAAGTCTATATATGGCGTGTCGGCTAGTCATTGTAATCTTAGTTCAGCTAGATCAATAGTATAAAAAGACTTCTTGATTGGCGTAGACAAACGTAAAGTGGGTATAGCCGAAAAACAAGGAAGATTTAGCGATGGATCCAGGTCGGAAAAAAACTACAACTCCCCAAACAATCAATCAAATTCCATAGATTTTTGGTATAATAAATATTTATTAACTACTTAAAGTAAAGATTAAACTAATATCACAAAAATATATAACATTTCCAGTCTATCAGAGACACATATGGTCCATACAGATATAGGTTTACTAGTAACGATTCAAATCGTAAGCATTTTTCGATACTTCCTTAATGATTGGCACTTCACGGCGACTATAATAGACGTAGAAAAGAAGACATCATGGAAAAAAGAATAAATTATATAAAGTAAAATTCAAATATAACAAAAATAGCGGAGCGATGGGGAAAGCACACAAAAAGATACACGGAGGTGATATTCGGCTTCAGATGAGTAGCAGTGGCTACTTAAAACCGAGAATACCATAAAAATACGGAACATATGAGTAGTTTTAATTATTTTTTAATTAAATTATTTATTGATCGATAGTTATATGTATCATAGACACGGCAATCTTACCCTCCAAATTACTTACTTCACTCAGCTGTATCACATTTACCTCATATCCTTCCCCACTATACTAATTCAAAAAGCAGCTGTATGTATATTTATGTATATAAAAACATTTAATTCTAATAAGACAGGGACAAAAGCAGTACAAATACAGTTATAATTCGCTTTAACAATGAGAATTTTTTGCAAAATACAAATTTCTAAAAAACATGAATATATTTAATGTTTGTATGTATGTATGTAAATTTGAGTGCACCTTTGTTTATAGCAGAGTTTATGCGTTTGTTTGTGATCTTTAAATACGTTTGAGTGTGCGTGTGTCATACATAAATGCAACATTTATTTTTTATTCATTATTATTATTATTCGTTTTTTGCATTTACGTTCTGCAAATGGAGAGTGTGTCCAATAGAAAGACGGCACCGTTGATGATCATCAACGAACCAGCAGCAAGCGCATTGCGTTTGCGATCCTTGAAGAGGAAATTCGAGTTATCATGCCACTCATCGATGATCAGGGCGCCGGAGATGACGAAGAGCACGCAGCCCAAAATCGAGATGAGCGCATTCAGACGCTTCTCGACAATCGAGTTGAGTATGTGTCCTGAAATAAATATGAAAATAGTTGAAAAAAGGGTTTTTTTTTAATTATTATTTTTTTTAAATCATTATTAGTTTTGGTCACATATGTATTTGGAAATAGAAGGTACTATTTCTTGACCTACTCATGGCTCTCTCGATTTTATATAATTTTATTAAACAATATTAATTCTATAAGTCGATCATGTCTTCTATTAATTTGACTTTGGAACTAGCATATATAATAAAAAGTATATAATTCTCTCGACGAACAAAAATTAATTCTCGGAATCTTTTATTCCCGCTTAGTGCTAAGTAATGTATGGAGTATGGAATGTAAAGTAAAATCGTCTTCTTCGTCTTCTTCAAATAAGTGAATTTAGTGGTGTAAGAAAAGAAAGCGAAGTAAAATTTCTGCGAAAGATTTTTGAACCTTTAAGGTTTGACCAAAATATAGAAATCTGAGAACTATGTACTTCATAGCGAAATAGAAATATAGCTAAGAACCAGGCGGTCATACCGGAGAAGGGGAAATATTCAGACTTTCTAAGTCATATATAGATATTTTACGGTACTAGTGTTCTGAAGTAGAAGAATAAGCCGCCAATAGGTTCGAAAAGCATAATAAAGAAGGATCTAATTGTCTTTCCAGATAGTTTCTGAAAATGTCCTTTGGCCTCTAATAATTAAAAAACAGTAAAAATAATTTTAGATTGATGGAAGTTACAGCTAGATACTTGCAGGGAGAAGTCACTGTGGGTCTTTTCAAACCAAATATTTTATATAAGACAATTCGAAACACGAAAAAAGTTAACTTCTGCTTTATCGAAGCTATGCCTTCCATTTATACAGAGTATGTCGAAAGTTGTAAAAAATAATCGCCCGAAAATGTTTGCGATTGAATTCCGTTTTTTGGTCGAAAGCATATTTTAAGTTACTGTAAACAACACAAAAAGGGCTCGTATGTCAAAATGTCAAACTTTTCGAAAAAATGTGATGTTCCAGATGACAACACTAGTAAGCAACGAAATATAAAGGCAACCTACGCAATAGTCCTACGTCAATCCAAACAATCTTTTCGGAGATTGTTGTAATATCTTTGATAATAAGCTTGACATAGCTTATAAAATAAACAAGTTTTTAAAAAGACTCGATTTAGATTGATTTGGCAGCTACGTATATGCATTATGGGTCTTATAAACTTCGTGGCAAAGCTGTTTTAAAAATATAGCTTACGACATAAGGATAATTTCGTTATCATTTTTAAATGTACGAACCAGTTAACTTCAGTGGTGACGAGGAAGTTAATAATTTCATTGCTTTTCCTCCCAAAAAAGTTGGGTGCCATCCCCAATCTGCCAACCATTGGTAAGACTTTATTGGATATTTTAGAATTTAGTATGAAGCACTACTGATTAACTAAGAGTTTATTACATATCAAGTATTTTTAACTAGGAACTATTAAAAACTGTTGCCTTACAGTTTATCGAAAATAAGTAAAGGCTTGGAAAAGTTTTTCACTCTAGAAAAAATTATGTGATTAGCGGATTTTTCGCAAATATAATTAATGTTAAGCTATTAAAACTGGCACTGTACTTCTCTTTGCACTTTTTAACTTTTAAAGCGGAGTAAATATATATAATTTACGAGATAATGTAAATATAAATAAAATGCACTTACCAATCAACAACACACCGCAGATGATGGTGAAACCACCCAGTGTGCCGCAGACGATCAGCGGTCTCGAGGACAACGCGCCAGAGGTCTCCCAAAGCACAATACAGGCGATCGCAATGCCCTAGAAACACAATTCGGCAAGAACATTGATTAATATTTATTTACAAAGCTTATCGAACGAAGGCTTGATGACTTGATGGATTTTTGCATTTTAATTTATTGAAATTATTATGATATTCTTGTAATTTCATTTTTATTTTGCTTATTATAATTTACATACTATATTAATACACTTTATAAACACTTAACACAACTTTGGCACATTTTCCGCACAAACATTTGGTGACTTTATCAAAATTTATTATAAGAACTTAGTAAGGATCTAACTATCTATAAATTATTACATATTTAACTGTGTACAATAACAAAAGTATCGGCAAAAAATATGAATGCAGTTATTAAAATAAATGCGCCAGCACCCTTTAACGCATTAAGATCCTGTGACTGTAGCAACTCATTGGTCCAACGATCTAGCACTATGACGCCGGAAGCGATAAACATTATGATTGCGCCGATACTGAAGAGACAGTCGATACGCTTATCAATAACAGCGCCGAGTAGATGCCCTAGCCGGTGGGAAGGCGAGAGGACCGGGTTCGTGGGTTAATAACAATCAACGCAAATAAAGCAAGAAACGAGGGCGAGAATAATCGAAAAGAGAAAAAATAAATAAATCTGACATATTTTGGCAATGTTGAATTAAAACATTTAGTGAAGTGTGACTTTGTAATCAGCAAATAACAAATTAGTATTCTTGTGTAAGTGTAACTCAATTTTACGTAGTTAAATTAGTGGTAATTACCGAGTAGCAAAGTGCAGCAGATAATCAAATAACCCGTTAGAGTGCCGCAAACCAACATCGCTTGACTCGTATACGAATGGTCGCTGATAATTTCGATCATGACAATGGCGCTCATGATGAAAGCCTACAACGGTGATGGTGAGTAGAGCAAGGAAACGCAATTTTAATAACAATTTTTTGAAACGCACACAAGTGGACAGGACAATGCCGATGCAAAAACTTTGCACAGAGAGGTTTAGTAAGAAGAGCGAGAAGAGAAGAGAAAATCATACGAACTGGACAAGCGAGTTGAGAAAGTTAGAGAGACGATTAACTTACAGTGACATAAGCACAGTTTAATAGTTTGTATTGCAGTGGATACATATTGGTATTATTTCAAATTTAAACAATAAACAAAATTAGGCAAACTTAGTGAGCTAGATGTAGTTTTTCTTGAAGCCCATTAGAAGAAACCAAGAGAAAAGGCTCGACAGGTTCACTTTACCAAGAATTCATTAAGCATAAACATTACTTTTCAAAAGTTTACAGTCGAATGAAAAACGATGTAATATCAACCACTAAAATTTAAACCAAAGTGGAGTTTTGGTTATGATACGGTTATATATTGGTTATGTATTGGTTATATATTGGTTTAAATATTGGTTAGGTATCTGTATTGGTTATTATATCTGACAGCGATTTTTGATTTATTTTTATGATAATTTTGTTTTGCATTTTAGGTGACTATATACGGCAAGTACATATTTTATGCCAATAAATTATACCTGGTTATGTTATTTATAAAATCGTATTCCTTAATCGAATTTGACTCGTATTTGAAAACCAAATCAATCTCACAGCAAACAAATGCCTGTACAAAACTACTTTGGTAGGTGGCGCTATATCCGAAACTTTGAGAACCTGACGATAATAAACACTCAGTAACTAATTGGAAAGTATCATATACATATATTGCGAAGTTAACTCAATAGCAGGCACCAGACCCAAATCTATGATCACACTCCAGTTGTCATTGGAAAAAATTCTTTCCACTTTATTTCCATTAGCTAAAGAGACCGGCGCTAAAATGTGTCGAATTTACGCATTTAATAATATTAGACTAACTTTTCGTTATACCAACTCAATATGGAGATTAAATTAAATCCGATTCAATCAAAATGCTCCAAAATTGTATCAGTAGTTGTGTGTGTAAATTATATTTGGCCCTTAATCAATTATAAATTAATTATAAAACCAGTGTCTCATAATAACCGCTTTATACATATGTACAATAAAAAACAAATAAAAACAATAGAAACCCCAAACGATAACAAAACATTTGGAAAACGTGATTTGCGATTGAAATTCAATACTGTTACATTATAAATTATTTAAACAAATAAAAAATAAATAAATAAATAAATAAAATTCCACACACATATTTTTTAAGTACGTATGAAAACAGTCTTTCGCAGTCCCATAAAATGAAAACATTTTTTTTTATATTCCTACGATATTACTCCGTAGCGATTTTTCGAATGCACACATTTATTTCGAACTTGAAATTTATTTATTATTATTGCATAAATAATTAAAATTCAAGTGTGTGAACATATTTATTCAAGTTCATATGCTAATATAAATTGCACATACATAGATATGTATATATAAATGAAGATACGTAATTTAGTGATTCATAAGAAAAGTGAGTTCACACTGAATGAGGTCTAACTGCGCAAAGTTACATAATGTGGTACAGTAAACATGAATATCGTGCTGACCGTGTTCCTAATGAAAAGATAGCATAGTCTAAGGGTTTGACTCTAGGAATTTAAGTTAAAGTTTTGGGTATCAAACGCGTTAATGCTACCAAAATACCTAAATCGTTTGCAAAGTCAAAGTAAAGCCCCAAAGAGCCATGCTAGGGAACGTTGCTAAGGACCCAACATTCATCAAATTTATCATTATTGGTGGCCGGACAATTCTGCTCCGATTCAGGGTTAGGAGCAAAAGATCATGAATGCACCAGTTACCAGTCATCGAAAATTGGACTCAACGGATGTACCATATGAGACGTATCCGCGGCCAATATTTGAAAGAGATAATCTTCAAAAAATACATGCCAAAGAATGTTCTTTCGAATGATAATAAGCATTCCCCATTAAATTTGAAGTTTCTGTGTTTTATATAATAAATTTTTATACAAAAAAAGAAAGTTGGTAACCTCTAAATGGGTTACCCTTTATTAGTATGTACCTACTATATATGTATAAACAAAATCGATTTGGATCTCCGATTATTTAAAGTGTTCAAATTACACTTAATGTCACATTGTTTTTGCTGTTATCTAATTAAAGTTACAACGCTTTCGCGTTAGCATTACATCAGACGATTGCAGTCAACGTTTGATTTCATGCCAACACTTACGTACGTTAAGTACGTAGCTTCCCTGCGGCATTGTCAGCGATCAATCAAAATGCAAATTAGTGAGTCATTGAAGCGTAAAATTTCAGCAATGATAACATTTGCGCCTTTTTTCATTTTATGCTTGGCTTCATGCAATTTGAACCAATTTTTGTAATGCAAATTATTTGCTGCCCGCAATAAAACTAAAAAATGCTGCTGTACTTTTCCCTATCTTTCCAAAAGAATCACAAACCAGAAAAGGAAAAAATTTAATTTGAGGTCACAGAAAACTTCAAAAATTGACGCGTCAAAATTATTATTCTCAGAAACTTTTTATATTTTTATTGAGAAAATTCCAAACTTTAAATAACTATGTATGTTTAATCGCCTAATTGAGATAATCAAATTTTGTCGCAGAAATTTTTAAAGTTTGAAAAATAAACTTTCTGAATATGTGATGGTTATTTCTGAGAAACGATAATTAGTTGGTGAAATTTTAGTTTGAATGGAAAAAACGAAAATTCCATGTGATGACCCCTTAGAGTTAAGCTACAGCGCATGGCTCGAGGGAGGATTTTATGATTGCCAATCACTAACACTTGAGGGGGTAAGAGTTGAAAAAAAATTCAAAATTTATTTTTGAAGCACCCTAATATATGTATATATACATACATAAATATAAAGTCACCATGCAAATATTCGCCTGACGAAAATTGGTTTTAATTTCTCTTTCGCCAGAGACAAATTTTTTGCTTGACAAAATTTTGGAGAGACAGGGTGAAAAGTTATGAATATTTATTATTTCAAATGCAACATTTACATAATAAAATTGTCATTAAAATTCGAATCACAATCTGTTAGAATGGTTAGTATTACAGCAAAAGATAAAATAAAAGCTATGAGTCAAGTCGGAATTTAAATGTTTTAAGTAAAATTTAGTGTAAAAAGGAGGGCAGAGGGATCTTTCGTATAAAAATAGCTAACATAAGCTACAATTTATAGCAGAGATACCTCGAAAGCGAGACTTATAAGATTATAAAACAATGGGTTTTTTAAGCCCGAAAGCTCTATTTGATGTATCCAGATCCCCAACGCTCTATATCATCTACTATTATTAACTGAGTATTTAAAAGTGCTATGAAATATATTCATAATTCTGTATACAATCACGTTTAATGTTTTAATCATATAGAGCTTATCTTGACGTGATTTGGTACTCTTATGAAAGTAATGACCGTAGGCTGAATGAGGAGATAAATGGGCGTACGGTTCAAAAAATGGATTTTTGATTATGTTATTAAATCATCAACATCTCTAGAATTTTGTTCTAAAATTTCAAATTGGTTCGAGTAATAGTTTCGGGGCTACAGCCTTGAGAACTTGTGCGCTCAAGATCAACTAGGCTAAGTGCGCTATCTTCAAATGCGTTTTTCTCAAAACTGTGTGTTTGTAGTCGGTTAGCAAAATTTCTCGAGAACTAATCAACCGACTTTCATGAAATTTTACACAGGTCTTTGAGATACAATTTTTAAAAACTTGAACGAAAGATTTTTTTCTCCATTACAACTATATGAAAGAAAATTTCCATGAAATTAATTTTTTGTAAAAATATCTGATAAAAATCCAAATTTTAGTTTTTTTTTCCTTTGTTCAAGTCATGAGTTAAAGTTTTAACTAAAGCACCTTTTTTCTGAGGGATTATATTTTTTTCCGAAAATTTCACAATTTCTTTGTTAATAGTGTATATTTGTAACAATTAAAAATTCTAATAATATATTTAATTCTATGAGAAAAAAATTTTTTAGAAAAGCTTTTTTTTACCCGAGGAAACTTATGTAACCCCATAAGTGATTCTCATAATATAGACAAAATTGTTTTGAAAGACCCTGTCGTGCGACTGTCAAATGTTTTAAAAATCTAACCAATAACGTCTTTGAATTTTTGTGAAGGCATTGGACTTAAACTTTGAAAGAGAAGTGCGCTACCTATGACCGAGACCTCAACTTTACCCCATAACATTCCAATACAAGTATTTTCAAACATATTTAACAACTCGAGGCGCAAGTTAAACATCCATAAAAACCATGGAACTTTCGGAGACGGAAAACTTAAATACAGAATTATTGTTCCATAATCACTGCTTTATTACCTCTGCATACTGCTAATTCTTCTCTTTTCGAATGTTTATAGCATTCAATACGTTATTTCCACTCTTCAAGTGATGGGTCAACATCCTTCTGTCATTGTTTTGCATTTTCTGCAAATTACTCTAAGTACGCTTATAGTCAATATTGCAGATATATATTATAATGACGTTTGCGAACACTACTGAATAAAGTAAATTTCGTTGTAATTTCCAGCAATTGTTCAACACAATTTCGATATTATTGAAGTGCTGCCACAATTTATCTGTTGCTCAGCAAATATTGACGGATAAGTATATAAACCTATAATATTTACATAGTGATTCGTGATAAAAATGGGACAAAGATAATATAGATAAAGAGGATGTTGCAAATATTAACGGCACATAACTGTTGATAAAATGATGGTTTTATTTTATCACTTTATATTCTCGTTAAATATTGATATAAACTGTCTTAATATGTGGCGTCTTCACTAAGCTAGCACGTCATATTCCCTTGAAATGGGTGCGTAGTTGTCAACTTGCTATCATTTTTATTGACTGACAGTTGCTGTCATAAATCAATTAATTTAAGTAGCATTTAAGTGGACACTAATGGGCTATTAGTGGTAATTTAGGAATTTCGCGACAGCGCGTATTTTTTTTTTAACACAGTTGTTATGTGAATTTTATGCGAGTTTTATCTAGTAGATATATGGATAGCTTGTTGCAGAAAATTATCTTCGTTATATGAATGTGCGCGTAAGTGATCAAATTTGACTCGGACTGGGCCCTTTACATTGAGCGCATAAACCGTTTGATT